GTTTGCAGCGAATTAAATTAATTAATTAATTAATTAATTAATTAATTAATTTATTTATTTATTTATTTATTTATTTATTTATTTATTTATTTATTTATTTATTTATTTATTAGGCCACCTGGGATGAAGTGAAGGCCTACATAAGAGAACACGCGCCCCAGCGCTTAGTTGCCAGCGGCCCCATGTCGACAACTTCCAGCTATTCTTATTCAGTGAGTTAGGGTTTACAAACCCTTGCAAACCCTAATTTAGGGTTTTAAAATCTTTCCAAAACCTCCTACACCCTTCCAAAACCTGGCTTCACTTCCATGCACTTCATGTTGGGGCCAAACCCTAAATTGGGGTTTCCGGTCAACACCTACGGGCCTGCTGTTCAGCCTCTAGTCTCTAGGCCCTAGGGTTTAGGGTTTAGGGTTTAGGGTTTAGGGTTTAGGGTTTGGCGAGGTGTGCAGGCGGGCGTGTGGTACCCCTTGACCCCGGGGGGCTGCTTCACTGCAGCGCCAAACACAGTCTTCGAAGTTGCTGCTGCTAAGAAGCAGCAGCAGCAGCAGCAGCAGCAGCAGCAGCAGCAGCAAATAAACTTGGGGGTTTGGGGTTTCGAGGGTTTAGGGTTTAGGGTTTAGGGTTTGGCGAGTTGTGCAGGCGGGCATATGGTACCCCTTGACGCCCGGGGGCTGCTTCACTGCAGCGCCCAACACAGTCTTCGAAGTTGCTGCAGCTAAGAAGCAGCAGCAGCAGCAGCAGCAGCAGCAGCAGCAGCAGCAAATAAACTTGCGGCCGCAGTGCGACATTTCCTTCGACTCCAAATCTTCGCAAATCATTTTCGCCCTCGACCTTCCCGGCTTCCTCAAGCAGGACGTCCAGGTGGAGGTGGAGAACAGATGCATCACCATCTCAGGTGCTGCTGCTGCTGCTGCTGCTGCTGCTGCTGCTGCTGCTGCTGCTGCGGCTGCTGCTGCTGCTGCTGGGGGGTGGTGGGGTGCTGCTGCTGCTGCGGCTGGGGTGGGGGGTGAAGGTGCGGTGCTGTTGCTGCTGCTGCGGGGGGGGAGCGGTGGGTGG